CCAACATATTCCAACACACAGGCTAATTAATTATTAATAATTGAGGCCATGGACCACTGCTGAAGGTCCTGAGGTACTGCACGAAGCACAGGCTGAGTTAGAGCCAAGCCCAAGCTCACAGGGAGCACACAATGCAGGCTCTCACTCAAACCAAAGCTGGGTTTGTGTCACAGAGGGGTACTAATGGCAAATAATGAAGTTATTATCTAATATTTAAAAACAGGAACAGATTGCTACATATTCAGCATGAGGAACCATTTAATTGCAAGCACAATTCTAGCAGCTGGCTGGAAACTACAGGCTTGTCCACAGAGCAAAAAAAATCAACATTTTTCATTACTCCTGACTTTTATCAGGGAATAAACTCCCCCAGCAGCACAGAGCACGAGTTACCAAGGCAAAGGGGTTCTGAAGGGGTGGTTTCTCAGCCTTGTTCCCACCAGAATCAAGGAACATCTTCCCTGTGAGACCTCACAGAACAGAACTCCTGCTCTCCTCCACCTCCTGCTATGTTCTCCCAGAAGCCTTGGAAGGAAAGCGATGCTGGTACTCAGTGCTTAGGTCATGGAGCAGAAGTGGTTTGCCCATATGTTTCCTCGAGGAGAAAAGGCTGAATAAATGAAGACACAATACCAGACATCCCGGGTGGCTTCTAGGATGATGTAAGTTCTTTTAAAAATAGCTTATTTCTTATAGGTCTCCTTTGAAATAGTTCAGAATTTACACAGGTAACCTCTAAGTGTGAGAAACTAAGTTATAAATACATTCTGCAGCAATTGCTAGAGGAGGTTCAAGTGCTAAACGTGTGTAAATTCAATATTGCTCCCGAGTCAGCAGGGCTTTCTGGAGCAGCTGGAGATGAACAATCAGCACAGGAGATGATTTCCTGAGGCCAGCAGGTTCTGCAAGCTTGGGGAAACCATTCTTTTGACCAGTTCAACCCAACAGAGGTAGAGAAACTTATGTCCTGTTTTTTTTTTTTTCACCTGTGAGTTGACCAAGATCCAACTAACCACTCAGAATAAATATCCACAATGGCAGTTTGTGTCAGGGAATTTAAGTGAAGGTTAAATTTACAGACCATAAAGTAAAGCACCATGAAGAACCAACAATCTTCTCCCTCTTCAGCCCCATAGAACTGGGCTGGTTTTGCCCACCTGAGGTTTCACCTTCTCCAGAAACACACACACTGAAAAACTTGAATTAAATCTAGGCCTCAAAGCTTGACCTTCTTGGTAAATGAGGAAGTCAGTGGCAACAATGTCTGCTGTAGGTTTGAACACAAGTAATGCTGTCAGGAGAGGATTCTGAGAGCCAGCAGAAAGCAGCTGGAGCTTTCCATGAGTCCCTGCAGGCCCAGCAGCTCATGGCTGCACTGACTCTCCCAGCAGGAAAACAGCACAGCAGCTCCTTGTACTCTCATGATGGTGCCCAACTGTGATTAAACTCAAAATCTGCTTTTTAAGGGTGTTCAAAATGTAAGTTTTTCTTCCCTCTGTGCCAGTGATGTGCCAGGTAGTGAACAGTCAACACCACCACATATTCCATGTGCTCTGGAGCCAAGAGTCTGAGCTCTCAGCCTGCACAATGAACCTCAGCTACACCACCTCTGCTCTCCTCCAAGAAAAGGTTAAACTGGAAGACAGACCCTGCCTACAGGCACTTTGCAACAATGGGCTGATTTTTCTGCCACCGATTATTGCCCTGGATAAGTATCAAGTATGTAGAATTATAATTTAACATACATCACTCCTAAATTTAAGGGGCTACTGACCTGTTGGGAGCAGGGAGCTGCCTGGTTATTTTGGGTCCTCTCACAACACAACAGCGTCCTGAAACACCAGCGTGTGGAGAAAGGGAAGAGTATCCATCACAAAAATGACTTCCTGGCTGCTTAGCTCTGCCCAGCCACAGTGTCTGACAAAGTAACACCAGAATTAGGGTAACCACTGCAGCTGACAGTTCTCAAGTCAAAAGACACCACAGATCTGCTAGAATTTTATTAAAGTAGGTTGGCACTCGGTCTCACGCATAGAGTGAAAAATCTGCAGCCACAGAAAGAGAGCTCAGAGCAAACAGGATTCATGAAGTGCACTAACTGACATTTCAGCAAGATCCACGTTAAAGTACTGCAAACTCAGACAACGCTGACATTTAACAGCTCACAATTACCACCAGGATTTGTTACTGTTACTCCAATGTGTAACACTGCAGCTCCCCTCAGATGCCCAGCCCAGGGAGTTCTACAGAACCTACAAGGCCAGAGTGATTTTTCTTCAGTCCCCATGACACAGGCAGGCTGCTCCGGGAGGGGTTCCAAATGACAATAACTTTATTGGCTACTTTAGCACTTTAGATGCAGGTCTATCACAAAAAAGCACTTGTTCGGACAGGAGCAGGTATGACTTTGATGGAACCAAAGCACCATTTCACCCTAAAATAACACGTACACATTCAGCCTGATGCACCAGAGGCTGCCCCCACAAACTGCAGATGGCCAAGACAGACCCACCTCGGCATCCTGCGGCAGTGAATGTTGATCTAAGACTCAAAAACTGGACAGATTGAGGGCCCTGCAGTCCTCTCACAGGAATAAACACCTAAGCGGAGAACTGCTCGGATGAGCCAAAAAACCCTTAAAAGGAGCAAATGATCCTTTGGATAACCGCCGCTTAAGGCCACTTACAGGTAAAATACACGCTGACTTCTGTGCTTACACCACATCCCAGAAGGAGCCCATAAGCTCATTACGGCGCTGCAGGAAGGGATAAAAGCGAAGACCGAGGCTGCTCGGTGCTGGAGCAGCTCCAGAGCCCCGCAGCCACCGCCGG